CCTCCTCCTCCTCCTCCTCCTCCTCCTCCTCCTCCTCCTCCTCCTCTCGGCTCCCTGGGGCTGTCAGACGAAGCACGGCACTCTCGGTGGGGTAAACTTTCTAAGCACCTTGATCGTGGGTATCATCCAAAACCATTCGTGCCCGGCTCCGGGGAGCCAGCGGTGTAACGCCGTCCTGGGTTTGCCGGGGCCGCGCAGACTCTCAGCCTTCCTCCCACGTCCCTCTGCCCCTCTTGCCGGACAAGCTCCCTATTTCCATTCCATAGCGAGATTCCAGATGCCCAGATCTGAGAGACAACACATCAAGTGGGGGGTGGGGGAAGCAGCCAATGAGAAGGCCTGGGAATCCCACCCCCTTCCCCGGCTCCCCAACGTCCTCTGCCCTCCTCTGCTTCTGCTCAGTGATGCTGGCAGTCAGGGCTCGCTGGGAGACGTGACCGGGATGTGCTATGATCAAACAAGTAGGTAGTGATCAGGAAGATTTTGATTCAGTCCTGCAGGGAAAAGAGGAGGGGACGAGAAAGGGGTGGAGGGGATGAGGGAAGGGAAAAGGAGGGGGAAAAAACAGTGGCAATCTGGTTCATGAAAAGCTGTTTGTAAGTGGGGGAGGGAGGAAAGAGCAGAAAATGCCGGTTGAATCTAGGAATGAAAAGCCCGATTGAGAGGAGGGGAGGAGTGGAGACCAGCTCCCAGCCTGGCTGCATTTACATGCGGCAGGAAGGGTGTTTAGTCACCACACTCTCTGTTTTCTCAGCTTTCCTGGTGATTTCTCAGGAGTAAGCAGGAGCAAGGTCAACTGGGCTGCTCTTCAAGGACGGAGAGAGCGCTTGGCTCCTGCAGGCTGATTTATCACTGGACGGGCTCCCCCGGCCGTAGGCTGGTAGGCAGACCTCCTCTGCTAGCTTTCCAAACTTTTTCAAAAGAAAGAAGTTCACGAGTCTCCCCACCTTCGCCCAAGGCCCCCAAACTCCAGGTCTTAGCTTCTAATTGAAGTTCAGTTTGTAGTTCAAAAAAGTGGGACCTTGTCTTACCTACCCAAACTACTATGGACTCTTTCATCTCCTCACCACCATCTCTAGAAAGCTATGACAAGCTAATTTGAAAGATTTTTTTTTTTACCCTCAGGAGAGAAGAAGAAAACAACAACATAGAAATGCAGCACGAATGAACCACCTCTGAAAGACGTCCTTCTCCCCGATATATTTTTAATTAAATTAAACTTATTTTTGTTACATTCTAAGTTTCGAACTAGCTCCTGATCTTTTCATCAGCATCCTGGGCACTGCTGCTTCCGAAGCCCAGACTCCGAAACCTCTCCATTCTCTCGAGTCACGTGCCAGCTATGTTCCTGCTTGATTTCTCTTAAGATATTTCTCGAGTGCCTGTGAGATACTCACTGCAGCTTTAGAATTAACCCATCTATTCAACTCAAAAGTAATCTCAAACTCACAGTAGTGGTGAGAAAAAAAATCTTCAAGGCTGAGGAGTTTAAACCAACCCCAACTCCTTTTTCCAGCAGTTCAGGAGTCTCTGAATGTGAGGGGCCGGAAATCTGGCATGAAGCTTCATTATCTGGACTCCCCAGTAAACAGGCCTTTAAAACAATTCAGACAAGGCAGAATTTACACATGCACTATCTATGAAGAAATGTTTTGCAAAGCAAATAAAATAATGTAAACACTAAACTATTTTCAAATACTTTGGTAGTATCTCTTGTAATAAAATATGCTAATTAATTGCAAATGATTCTTCTCTATTCAATTAACCATTTCTAACAGACTACTGTGATTAACAGACTAGTTCAGTATACCATATGTACTGAAAAGTAGTAAAACCACATTACTTGAAAAACATTAACAAACTCAGACTTCTTTATTTGATACTGACCTTGAAGCCAACAAATCTGAATTAATGGGAAGCTGAGCCAATGTCAATATTATCCAGGTAATTTAGATAATACTGATCCATGACTGGACTTTTTTTAAATAAGGAAAAATATTTTAAACACTATATAATTAATATTAAGCACAGAATTGCTGTGCAATTCCAAAAAAGGTTTGACTTTCCAATAAAAAAGATTGAGGTCAACATTAGCCATGATTTGAATTTTTACCTATAAGACCTTAGATACAGGTTAATGTCCTGCAAAAATAAGCAAAATATTAGATTATACCTCTGCTGATGTTCCTAATAATTTCTTTATCTATTCTTTGTTCTCCTCAATGCTCAACACATCCTAGTGCTTTTTTTGAGAAAATAAACATTGAAGAAGACCTGGGGATTTTAGTGAGCTGCAAACTCAATATTAACCATCAAGATGTTTCGGTACCTCAAAAAGCTAATGCTGCTTTGGATTGTATTTATGGAAGCATAGTGTCCAGAATGAAAGAGATCACAGTCTCACTATACTGACACATCTGGAGTACTGTCTTCAATTCTAAGAGACTTACTATAGGAAGGATATTGATAAGCTGGACTAGGTCCAGAGAAAAGGAGATCAGTGTGGTGAAAGAAATTGAATGCTTGCAATATAAGAAACTGTCCAGAGAACTGAAGCTATTTACCCAGAGAAAAGGAGACTTACTGGGGACATGATTACTATTTAAAACTACTTAAAGGGCTATCATTTGGCATAGGGATAAGACTTGTTTTGCTTGGACAGCACTCTGAGTAATGGACAGAAATTAAAGAGGGACAGATTTCAGCTGAAAGTAAGGAAAATTTTCCTAATAATTAAAATTGTCCAAAAGTAAAATGGGCTGTCTTAGGAGGATGGAAATTCTTTATCACTGGAGGTCACTTCAAGCAGAAGCTAAATTACTACTTACTAGGGGTGTTGTAGGAAGAATCTCTGATCAGATACAGGTTGGCCTGATGATTTCTGAGGTCTCTTTCTGTTCTAAGGTTTAATGGTCTGTGATTTACCTCAAGAGTAAAAGGGTAAACACATTGACATTTTAGCATTTGCCATATTAAAAAAAATCATTTTGCCCACTAATGAAGATAATTAAAGAAACCTTTAGTTTGAAAACTGTTAACTTCTTCATAAACACAATCTGCCAAATTGTTGATTAATGATGGGCATTATCTAACTTATGGACAGTGCCCACAACGTACAATAGAGAGAATGGCATTTTGCTTGGGGTGGAGAGGTTGATGAAGCACATTTGTATAATCCAACATCCCACCATAAACTTCCAGTTTTTTAAAGTAAGTATAATGGCATTTAATATACATATTCAAGGAACCTATAGTAGAAGACTTAGGAAGTTTCTGTCAAAGTCTTAGGGTTATAAATTCAGTACTCAAAGGACTTTCTTCTTCAGTATTTTTCAGGTAATAAACGTTTCTCGCCATGAGGCAAGGAATTACCCCTTGGTTTGGTTCAGATAACTAGGCTTCAACTAGACTTATGACTGGCCACCGGAGAGAGGGATTTCATTCAGCTGTCCCAATAGCACAAATGGACTTGACCAAGACCAAGCCTAACAGAAGACTGATTTTTCAACTCTAACATCTATAAATATGAGACAGGGTCCCACTGGTTGTTTCTAATAAATGTATCATATTCTTGTTTGATAAGCCAGATGTAGGTCACTCTAGACAAATTGAATTATCTCATTTGACATCAATTGCCTTTATTTTTTCTTCTTTTTTTTTTAAGTTTTTAGGCAGTTGGGGTTAAGTGACTTGCCCAGGGTCACACAGCTAGTAAGTGACAA